AGAGATTGAATTTTATTAGTAATTATTCTTTTCCCCAATAACAACTTCCAGGGAAACTCCACATTATTAATAAATTTCTTATAAAATACCTTTCTTATTGAACTTATTTCATATTTCAAGCAATAACCAAAGATCTCTCATGTTGATACATTTCAACATGTATCATATGTGCAGCCAATCTGTGGCTTTTAATTTAAATATTCTTTGAATTAAAAAAGTTGGCTAAAAATTGTGTAACTATACAAAGTATTTTTTGCTAAGACAAGGTTAAACATTTTTATCTGGGAAGATGACTGGAGCTGGTCTTGTCTGCAGTACATTTACTGTCTGTCCAACAGCATTGTTTTTATACTACTGGAAGGTTCAGCCTTTCAGATTCTTATACATACAAGTGCTGTCACCATATGTAGGATGAGGTCCACAGCTAGAACAGTTAAGCTTCACACGAAACACGTTGAGCTTTCCTCCTCAGGTTGGGAGGATGAATAAGAACCAAGGAGGTCCTATGATTAACTCAGGCCAGAACTTGGGATATGAGGAACAGGTTCCTGGGGTAGTCCCTAAGGAAAGGAGCCGAACTTCAGCTCCGTGGGGCTGGAAGGGCCAGGCAGGCCAGATGGCTGAGACGCTGTAGCTGGGGTAAGGAAGTAGCTGCAGGTGTGTACTGCAAGGAGCAAGAATGGCTCCTGTCAGGGGAAAAGGAATGAACCCATCTCAGGGAAGGCAAGCTCCAGATACAAGGAGCGAGAGGGTAAACTGAACCCAACTCTGGGAATGAGGGCTGGGGACCCTTGACTCCAGGAAAGAGGAGTGTTTGAACTCTGTCGGAAAAGCAGATGCTCAGGGATGAGGGGCTGTGCTTAGCTTGGAACTGAGGTGAAGGTTTTATTGACATGGACCCCAGACAGGGAATGCTGTGATGGTCTTACCTTTTAAGGGCCTGGAGCAGAAAGAGAAAATGAGGCTGGGCCCTGCAGACCCACCCCAGGCCACAAAGGGGTGCTTGGGAGGCAGCGAGCCCTGTTCCAGTCTGGGTTTGGCTAACCCCTGTTCCAGTCTGGGTTTCTAAGAAAAGGCCCCTGATGAGCTGTAGCTGTACAGGAAGATAACTTCCCTATGACAAAGACTGTTGTGCAACAGGACACGCAGTAATGTCTTCCCTGCTGGAGAGCTGGATCCTGGGAAGTGTCCGCATGTTGTGTTTATTTTCTTTCTTCCTTCTCTGTCTCGTCTCTAACGTTTTGGCCAACTCTCCATGCCTGTCCTCCTACTAAAAAAAGGAGGACATGTGGCACCTTAGAGACTAACAAATTTATTTGAGCATAAGCTTTCGTGAACTACAGCTCACTTCATCGGATGCATTCAGTGGAAAATACAGTGGGGAGATTTATATACACAGAGAACATGAAACAATGGGTGTTACCATACACACTGTAATGAGAGTGATCAGGTAAGGTGAGCTATTACCAGTGGGAGAGGGGGGGAACCTTTTGTAGTGATAATCAAGGTGGGCCATTTCCAGCAGTTGACAAGAGCCTCTGAGGAACAGCCGGGGGGGGGGGGGGGGCGGGAATTAAACATGGAGAAATAGTTTTACTTTGTGTAATGACACATCCACTCCCAGTCTTTATTCAAGCCTAAGTTAATTGTATCCAGTTTGCAAATTAATTCCAATTCAGCAGTCTCTCGTTGGAGTCTGTTTTTGAAGTTTTTTTTGTTGAAGAATTGCCACTTTTAGGTCTGTAATCGAGTGACCAAAGAGATTGAAGTGTTCTCCGACTGGTTTTTGAATGTTATAATTCTTGATGTCTGATTTGTGTCCATTCTTTTACGTAGAGACTGTCCAGTTTGGCTAATGTACATGGCAGAGGGGCTTGCAAATGATGGCATATATCACATTGGTAGATGTGCAGGTGAATGAGCCTCTGATAGTGTGGCTGATGTGATTAGGCCCTATGATGGTGTCCCCTGAATAGATATGCGGACACAGTTGCCAACGGGCTTTGTTGCAAGGATAGGTTCCTGGGTCAGTGGTTCTGTTGTGTGGTGTGTGGTTGCTGGTGAGTATTTGCTTCAGGTTGGGGGGCTGTCTGTAAGCAAGGACTGGCCTGTCTCCCAAGATCTGTGAGAGTGAGGGATCATTTTTCAGGATAGGTTGTAGATCCTTGATGATGCGTTGGAGAGGTTTTAGTTGGGGGCTGAAGGTGATGGCTAGTGGCGTTCTGTTATTTTCTTTGTTGGGCCTGTCCTGTAGTAGGTAACTTCTGGGTACTCTTCTGGCTCTGTCAATCTGTTTCTTCACTTCAGCAGGTGGGTATTGTAGTTATAAGAACACTTGATAGTCCACACAAGAGATCCACTTCCTGGACACTATGGTGCTAATAAGCGATGGTCACATAAACACCACCCTATACCAGAAACCTATTGACCGCTATGTCTACCTACATGCCTCCAGCTTTCATCCACACGATCCATTGTCTACAGCCAAGCTCTACGATACAACCGCATTTGCTCCAACCCCTCAGACAGAGACAAACACCTACAAGATCTCTATCAAGCATTCTTAAAACTACAATACCCACCTGATGAAGTGAAAAAACAGATTGACAGAGCCCCACTGTTCCTCAGACGTTCTTGTCAACTACTGGAAATGGCCCACCTTGATTATCACTACAAAAGGTCCCCCCCCCCCCCCCTCTCCTGCTGGTAATAGCTCACCTTACCTGATCACTCTTGTTACAGTGTGTATGGTAAACCCATTGTTTCATGTTCTCTGTGTATATAAAACTCCCCACTGTATTTTCCACTGAATGCATCCGATGAAGTGAGCGGTAGCTCACAAAAGTTTATGCTCAAATAAATTTGTTAGTCGCTAAGGTGCCACAAGTCCTCATTTTCTTTTTGCGGATACAGACCAACATGGTTGCTACTCTGAATTCTGTCCTCCTACTGTTTCCCTTCACAGGACATGGGCAGGAGTACAAACCCGTGGGGATGCAGACCTGGTGTAAATGGTTCTCTGTGCATAGATGGGTCATGCTGTGTACAGCTTTACTGGGATGGAGGAAAGTGACTTGCTGCCGTCTCTAATCTAGAGCTGACAGGAGCTGCCTGCTTCCCTGAAGTTATGTATTAAGTGCCTGGTGGCCAGAGCAGAGCAGCAAGAGGCCATTTTCAGGGAGTAGGCCCCAGTGTGCAGGCCCTTGCAGGGGGAGGTAGTAGAGACCTGGCACCTCTAATGGACAGGCACATGTGCCTGCTTCCTAGCATCCCACCTGTGACCATGGCACAGTAGGGTGCTCAGTCAGGCTGGAGGTGTACACTGGTCATGCTTGCCTTTCATGACTGAGGGGAAAGTCTGCTGGGGACTAATACTCCCTGCTGGGAGAGGCAGTCTCTGGCCCAGGAGCCATGCGTGACCCTGTGTAGGTCTGTTTCTCCCAGCTGTTAAGATAGTGTGAGTTGGTCAAGGAGCAGGTGACAGTAGAGATGTAGTGGTCACTAGCTGCACCACCTTCTCTGTCCTATGTAGCCAGGCTGGGACCCTTATGTGCTTTATTAAACTTGGGCCCTATGTGGGCATCTCTGGTCCATCTCCCAGAGGTGGGGAAAGATGTCTGAAGGTGACTCCCAGTGAGGTATTACCTTTGACGGTCTAGGGCTACTTACCCTGCCCCACACCAAGGTGGGCAAGCATGTAAGGCCTGTACCAGCTCACTGGTGGGAAATGGACAGGATGGAGAGGCAGGGTGCGAGTGGCTTTGCTCAGCAAAGCTGCCCCTTTCCTTCTGAAGTGTGGCGTCCACGTAGGGATCCATGCTGAGAGGCCAGCAGCAGCGCTCTCCCTAGGTTAGCTGCCCACCCATGACCCCAAGCTTCCTCTTTAAGGTCTTCCTCCACTGGTATTACGATGACTGGTAGGGCAATTTCCTTGGCTCCTGCTAGTAGGCCACAGCCTAGGAAGATGAGAACGGATTTCTTTGTCTAAGGGTCCAGATGCTGCTGCAGAGGTGCTATGCCCTGAGGCCTGATATTCAGATTTGGCTCCCAGAGCAGGAGTGGGTGGGAATCTTTTTGCTTTGGGTATCTACCCTGTGTCCTTTCTCCTTCATGACCCAGGCTGTGGTACCCTCCCAACAGCAGCATCTTCAGTTACACCTTTCACCGGGGCAGTGTGACTTCAACTCCTATCCCTGCTGTGTGCTCTTGTTCTCAATATCAGTCCCATGCCAAGCCCATAGCACTGAGCCTTTGGGGTTGGTATGTGGGAAGTGATGTGTTGGACCCAGAATGGCCATTTTTAATTTCCTAACAGAACTCCTTGTCTGTTTTAGGAGTAGGGCTCTCCCAGGCCTTGCCAGGAATGCTGGAGGTTGTAGCTAAACCTTCACCATGAACCCTCACCCACTCAACTGTGAGCAATAACCTCTAGCCCTTGAATATTGAGCATTTACCACTAACTCCTAAATTATGAGTGCTTATTGCTGACTCTTAACCCCCAACACTGTTCAGTGAGAAAAAATACTGAATCCTTAACTGGTGAGCTCTCAGCCCTGACCCATAACCCCTACTGGCTGAGCAATGAACATCAACCCTCAGCCCCTAATGCTGAGAACTGAGTGACAATCCAGCACTGATAACAGCAGAGTGATCAACCTTACCCTGCAACCCTTAACCACTGAATGTTGAGTGGTAACCCCATGCCCAGCCCCTTTTCAATGAGCAATAACCCAAACCAATAATGGTTGAACACTCAGCACTGACCCATAACTGCCTACACAACCAGGGAGAGATAACCCTGAACCCCACACTGCTGAGCAATAACCCCAAAACGTTTACTGGTGAGAGAAAACCCCTAAGACCGGAGTGCTGAGCTATAATCAGTAGCCAGGGAGCAGTGAGTGATACCTTTGAGCTGATAATTGCTGAGTGCTCAGACCTAACCCTTAACAGCTAAAAAGTGAGTGATACCCTCTAACTCCAGATTGGTGAGCAATAAATTAAACCTTGAGCTGTTTAATGTCAATAAAAAAAAACTGCAATAGCTATTCAAAAGAACATGAGTAGCACTGTGCTGATCTCATACCAACAGAACACTAGATATTTAGATTTATTCTAACATTAAAAGATTGTATATACCTAAAGTAAAATAGAAATGGGTTTTAGTAGTTTTACATCACATTTTTGTTTAAGTAATTGCTACAAAAAAAATTGATTCATAAGAGACACTTCAGTAAAGACTTCCAATCCCCTTTAGTGCTGAAGCCTACAGGTATAGATATTTACAAGGTGAGGCTTAAGTGTAAATTAAGGCAATAATGCAATGAGCCTACAAGGCCAGTAAGACAATAGTTTAGCTACATTAAGGCATAAGGTAATTAACCAAAAGTAACCCTAGATAATGATTTTAAACAATAAAATGCTGTAAAAACTAAACTGTTGACAAGTAACCACGAGATGCTAGTTTATAGCATCTTGAGATATTTTAAGCTAGGGACATCAGCAGCTGTCTGACAACAAGAATGCCATGGTAACTGACTGAACTATATGCTAATAAAATTGAGGTAAAAGGATTAATAATCTATGGGAGAAGGGCATCCCAGCATTAGGGTGAGGAACTACAAATAGAACAAATAGGAACTACAAATAAGGAAAAGGGACTGAAACCTTTCCTGAGTATTGCATTGCGCATAGTGGCATAAGTGTAACACATTATAAAAGTTGTATCCCATCTTGTATGCCTTGAGAGATGCCAAGATGATGACTGATCGGGAAGATAACTAACACTGCAGGTTGTTTTGCAAGGGATGGTGTAAGTATCTGGATGCTCAGCACATTCTGTACTATCTCTACCTCCCTTGCAGGGTTTAGAGTGTTTGTGACTTTGCTAACTGTATTTATAAAATTATTATAAATACAGTGTGATTTCCTAAGTGTGAGTGTTGCAACCATGTACGTTCAGGCTCCCAACTGAACAGGAGTTCTGATAATACTTTGCCTTATCTTGGTACAATAACCTATCAAATTCCAGTGCTAATTGGGGAAACTAAATTATATTACTAATCAATATACAATCAACAGATCTGACAGAGTGCATCTGTTTCCTATTCTGACTAGGTAAATGTTTAGGAAAGCAAACCTACATAGTTCCACCGTAGTGGCAGCAAGTTAAATCCTATGCAAATCACTCCTAGAAGAGTGTGGACCAAACCATGAGGCCTTTGCTCGGTTTTTCTCCTTAAGTAAATGGATGCTTTGCTTGAGTAAGGATCTCAGGATTTGGCCTCATTTCAGTATTTTATTGTGGCCAACTTAACGTTGTTGGAGGATTGTCTCTGCCATCTTGTGACTACTGAATTCTTTAGCAAAGAAAGCATTAGATTGGGGGCGGGGGGAAGGAATGCTGTAAAACTGTCGAAATACATTTGGTTACCAGTGGCACTATATGGCCCCAAATTAGGACCATACTTTCAAATAAGATCCATGTTCACTTTCAGAATGCTACTGCATTCCAGCAGCAAGTATCTTCCTATATTTGTATATGAAAGCATCTGTTTTCCCAAGGCTAACTCCATAGGATTCTACTGCTGCCAAAGACCCAAAGCATGTAGTTTTATTGTTGAAGTGTTCAGTCTCTACACCTGTAATTGAAGAGGAAATACTTCTTGGACTCTGATTTTTCTCTTCGGGATTCAAGTCTTTCACCACAGCAGCTCCCTTCTTGTTGCCACTGGTGGCGTTCAAAGAGGTGTCATTTTCAACACAATTGCTAATACAGCCACCCATGTGCCTGTGGAGATCTTGACTCACAAGTAAGACAACTGTCCCTCCAACATGAAGCACTCTGACGGTTTAAAAAAAACAAACTGTTAGTTGTGCATGGTTGCTAGACTGTGCATTAGATCTATGGACTCCTCATGCCCCTATTACTCTAGTATCTAGGCACCCACAATCAAAATCAGAGCTATGACCCTCCTTAACAAAGAATAAGTCAGTATCTGTCACCCTTCAAGGATCCCAGAAACACTGGGATTTTAGCTACTATGGCCCTAATTCAGTGAAATGCTTAAGTACATGCGTAGGTTTCTTGTTTCATAATAATCAGTAAAACCTTTTGCAAACTGTTGTGGCTCCACTCTAAATTTTTCCCTAAATGGAGAAGCTGGACCATTCTTGCCTCAGTAATACTTCTGACTTGGGGAAATGAAAAGCATTTGCTATAGATAAAGATGGGTCCAGCTGTACTGATGACATTTCTTCTGATACTGAAATGATGATCTCACTCAGACACCTTTTCCAGACCTAACTGATGGAGGCTTTGGACCAGGGGTGGGGAAACTTTTTGGCTTGAGGACCACATCGGGTTTCCAAAATTGTATGGAGGGCCGGTTAGGGGAGGCTGTGCCTCCCCAAACAGCCAGGCGTAGCCCGACCCCTATCTGACCCCCCTGCTTCTTGCCCCGACAGCCCCCCCAAGACTCCTGCCCCATCCACCACCCTCTGCTCCCTGACTGCCCCCGGACCCCCGCCACCATCCAACCCCTCCTCTCCTTCTGGACTGCCCCCGCAAGACCCCTGACCCATCCAACCCCCCTGTTCCCAGCCCTCTGACCGCCCCAATCCCTATCCAACCCCCCTCCCCGCTCCCTGCCCCCTTACCACGCTTCGTGGAGCACCGGTGGCTGGCGGTGCTATAGCCACACCGTCGAGAGCACCGAGTCAGACTGCGGCTCTGCAACTGCGTTGCCTGGCTGCCCAGAGCATTGCACCAGCGGTGCAGTGAGCTGAGGCTGCAGGGAAGGGGGAACAGCTGGGGAGGGGCTGGGGGCGAGCCTCCCGGGCCAGGAGCTCAGGGGCCAGACAGGAGGGTCCCATGGGCCAGATGTGGTTTGCCCACCTCTTTGAAATGATTTTCCAGAGCCTTGAAACTACAATGTAAAAGAAGTATCTCCTATGACAGAATAAGGGAGTTTTTAAACTGACCTTTTCCTTAGGGTAGTCTACACTTACAGTGGTGTGTAGAGTACAGACACTGCATGCCCAGTGAGCGTGGGCATAAACAACATTGTAAAGGGTGAAGCACTGTTTAGGTGAGTAGTTACCTCCATAACTGAACCCTAGAATATACACCCTACCCAAGCTCTCTACATGCCCAAGCAGTGCCTCCCACATCCACTCTGCTATTTTTAGCAGTGTAGTGTCCCACAGGCTTCCAGCTGCTGGAGCCTCTCCTCGCTGCAGGGAAAGGTTCTGGCAGTGGGTGCTGCTGGAGCCTCTTGCTGCTGTGTAGCTCCACACCATAGGGAGTGTGGACGCAGACCGCTTTTCACTGCATTGTGTAGCTACATGTATGATTCATGACATCGGAAGTGTAGTCATTGAGATCTAAGTTATTGTCCTCAGTTTGTTTTATTGATTCCTAAAGCTTTTTAATCTGAGGAAAGGTGACATAAAATTGCACAGTTTAAAATCAAGTTATATAAATTACCTGTTGGGAACTAGTGTTACAAGAGCCACTGGAATGCTTGAACCCCAGGGGGGAACTGCCCCCATCTGAAAACTGCTCACAGTCAGCAGATCGAATAAAAGGGTCTCATTGAGTCTCTTGGTGAAACTTCTCCAGCAAATTTTTTTCTTTGTTCCCATATTCAAGGAAATATCTTTGCCCAAGAAGATCCACCAAGAGAGAAAGCAAGACCAGAACTCTAAGCAAGGCCAACAAGAGAATAGAGTAGATAGTTGAAAAAGAAACAACAGATATTACATCAATACCTGTCTGGTCTGACAAAAAAGGAAAATCGAATACAATGGTTCAAGTACCAGGACCCCTCCCACACAGCCATAACATAAGGGAGGGTGGTCACAAACCCCTGAAACTTGTTCTGATTGCAAAACTTTAAGAATCCATGATCTAATACAACAAACATTCCATTAATCTAGTTACACTTCCAACTGTAGTGAGACTTAAAGTAAATTCCCTCTCTTTCCCAAAATTAGGGCTACCAATAAATAGGGCAATGGATCCCAAATACAACTGACTAGTAAAAACCTCTTTACCTTTCTTCACCATAGAAACTGAGAAGTTTCTACACTCCCCTTTTTTGGTTTATGTCCTGCCCACCAGTCTCATTTTTGGAAATGTATATTTTTGGCATGGTGGTCATTTTGAAAATTTATTTTCATGGGGACCATTAGGACCGCTTGTGTGGTTCCCCCCCAACATTTAGAGCCACTTTCAAGCTCAGAGGAAAGTTTTTTCAGAAGGCTTTTTAGATATTTTAATTAAAGTTTAGTAAACAGAGGAATAAAGTATTACGACAAATATGATAACAGGCCTTTTTAGAGATGAAAGTAATGCCTTTATTTCAAAAAATGCATACAAATATTAGTAACAAAACATGCAGTTTTAGAGAAAATAAAGGGGAGTGGTTAAACAAGAAAGTAAGAGAGGCAGTAGAACAACTGAGAAAAGCAAAAGCCTTTCAGCTATTACAGAAAAAAAGAAAGTGAGAGGCTGCAGAGAAAGTTTTAAAACAGGAACAGAAGAAACATCTGTCTCTCTTACTTTGTGTCGTTTACTTTCCCCTTCATTTTCTCTGCAAAAACATGTTCTGTTAACATTTAATGTCTTTATTTAAAAAACGCATTAAAAAATCTAAGAAGGGGTTATCATATTTATGCCTTAACACTTTGAGCTTTTTACACATTTTAAATAGTTTAGAAAATAAAGGAATAATTTCTTCTTTAAAAAATTCAGTTTTCCTCTAACTTTTAAAGTGGCTCTAAATGTGAAGAAAAAAAACCCACACAAGCAGTCCTAGTGTTCCCTATAAAAGAAATGTTAAAATGGTCACCAAGCCAACAGTATACACCTCTAAAAATGAGACTAGTGCGTGTGACATAAACCAGAAAGGGGGCATGGAAACCTGTCAACATTTATGATGACAGGTAAAGAGGTCTTTACTATTCTACTGTTGCAAATGCATCTTAAGACTCCTCTAGCATCAACAAAAACAAACCATTTAGAATCATCTGGTATGAGTGTCTAAACTTTGACAGCTGTATGCTTCTCAGACTATCTCTGAAAACTCAGCCAGCTTTCAAAATAACCTCTACCTGAAAACAGTAGGAAGGGTGAAGGTTCTGTCACCACACTGACTTGTGGAAAGAGTAACCCCTCAGTTAATGAATGCCTCGAGGACGTAACATACAACATACATGCTTTGACAGCTCTTACTGATGTCAAAGCTTCCACAGATTGCAAGGCAAGACATGCAACACCTCAAGGTGATGCTCTGGAGAAGTGCATTTGTGAGGAATAATTGTATGCAACATACACATATTTAATTACTAACTTTTCTGGGTCCAGACCACAGAATTGAGGGTTCATTTAAAGTACAGTTTTTTATGCTCAAGATTACAAACAAGTATAGAGTTTAAAAAAATACCCTAAAGTGTTTCAAAGATTATACATACCTTTCCATTTCTCGAAGAATATTTTGTAGAAGCTTTATGTCTTTTGTTATCTTGAACTTTTTCCCAAATGGAATGTCCGATATCACAACGTCAACACTTTCTGAAGGTAATGGCAATGCTGCAAAACAGAAGTTTGATTCTTAAATTTGGCTAAACTTAAGAAAGAACAGTGACTGAGTAGCAACCATGGTTCAAGCAGGTTGACAGCAAAGATTCTCACTCTTGTGGAGGGCATATCCTCAGCACAGGGTTCAGAACCTTCCGAAAAGCCATGGCTATTGGGGCAATGTATATGCTGCCTCATAAGGAGCCATGAACTCCAACAGAATTCACATGGACACACCTTGAAAGGTAGACATGGTGCAAAGGGAGTATACAATTTATGTTGTCAGTCTCCACAAAGAATTACAGTAACTAGATAAACTTTTCTCTGCTTTGCATCTGACAGCATAGATCCCCCCAACCTCTGCAGATAAACTATCAGTGACAACTTTCTACAGAAGTGGTCTAAGAAGAACTAGACTGGAGAACTGTTTTCCCATATTGGGGATCCAAACTGGGAGACAAGCCACAGGATAATAGTCCACTGAATATATAAATTGACCATCAAGGAGCAGGTTTACAAGCCTTAGGCTTTATCTACACTACCACTTTTCTTGGTAAAACTTTTGTCAGTCAGGGGTGTGAAAAAATACCCCCGTGACAGACACAAGTTTCACTAACAAAAGTGCTGGTGTGGACAGCGCTATGTCGGCAGGAGAGGCTATCCTGCTGGCAAGGAGAGGCTACACGGGAAACCTTATAGCAGTGCAGCTGCAATAATACAGCTGTGCTGCTATAAGATCCATAGTGTAGACATAGGCTCACCTCCTTCACTAAGACCTGTTGAGTTTGCTATGAACCTGGAAGAATGTATTGTAAGCACCTGAGGGTCTTACACACTTCCAAGCTTACGGCATTGTTATAAAACACTGGTTCTCAAACTTTTGTATTGGTGACCCCTTTCACACAGCAAGCCTCTGAATGTGACCACCCCCTATAAATTAAAAACAATTTTTTGTATTTAAAACTATTATAAATGCTGGAGTCGAAGCAGGGTTTGGGGTGGAGGCTGACAGCTCGTGACCCCCCCCCCCCATATAATAACCTCATGACCCCCTCAGGGGTCCCAACCCCCAGTTTGAGAATCCCTGTTATAAAACATTTCATCCACCAACACCACACAGGAGGCACTCAAGAGTGACAGGGGACACCTATGGTATCTGCTAAAAGACTTAAGAAACCTAGAACACAAGAAACCCCACAAACATCTTTATCTATCCTCTTTCATTACTAGAAAGAAACCAGTGCCATTAGCGTAGCTTCAGTCCCATATTCCACTAAAGGCAATGGTATAAATGAGGGCATGATTTAGCTTGCAGAATGTTTATTACTGATAGAAAAAATACACCCAGCTTGAGTCTGCAAAGCTGGCAGCCAGAAAAACTGTGTTAATTTGCAAGTAAAAACATCTGATCAGGATGTCTTAGAGTCAATGAACACGAAACACTACAATTCCATTTTTGCAAACTAGTTTTGCTCCTCAAGGTAAATAACTGTTTGCAAATGAGTTTTAAAGTGGGAGTTATGTGGTTAACCTTGCAGGCCCTTTACTTACAAGAATAATTTGCTCAAATGCAGATGTTAAATTGAAGGAAGTGATGCATTAGATCTTTCATATAGAATCTGGTTACAGGCAGGCATGGCTGTAACCAATTTAATTTTGATTTTGAGCTGCTTTCTTTGAATTGCTGCTCCAAACGCCTGAATTTTCTATGCCAGCTCTAAGTGATTATTTTCTTTTACTGAAGCTATATGAAAAGGCTAGTCTCCTGAGAATAGCTGTTTCCCAGAACATTCTTGGACCAAGATGTATGGTAAATTGTTTTGTCTATGAGCGAAATAGCCAGCTATGCATTCTTTTGAAAAACTGTGGAATTAATATACTCTGACCAATGACTAAGATACAACCACAAGGCATCAATTACTTCCTCAACAAGGGTATGGTCTGAGTTCAGAATACTTCTAATTTTAAGTATCCTAAGCCAAGCCAAGTCCAGTGGGGGCTCTAAAACCAATCAGGTAAGAAACAGGTATTACAAGGAAAGGAGTACTATACATTCTTCTTCATCTGAATACAAGGTAAGGTGTCAAACAGAGAAGATCTTTTGCTAACTGCTGTAATGAGTTTTCATATGTGGGTAATTCAGGTCCAGATTTGGAGAACTTGTCCACATTAAGTATCAAATCATAAAGCAATCATCTTCTCCTAAAAATCAGCCCATAAATTGAGAACAAACCGATAGCATTTTCCAGGAAAAGGCCAGGGTCATTAAATGTATCCACTGCAAAAAATAATGATTCATCAATTGGCTTAAGTTATCACTGCAGAAAAATTTGAGTTACAAGCTGCAGATCACAGGGATTTATCTTTGTATTATGATAGTTAATTAGAACTTTTACCTAAATAATGACTTTTTTTGACTGGGAATTTCACATAAGATACAGAGTAACGGTAGTGATTTGCCAAACCCTGGAAATGAATATATACAATATCCTTTTGTTAAGTTTCTTGTCAAAATATAAGGGGAAGAGAACAGAAAAACAGCAGGTCATGAACATAAAGGAAAGTGTCAAACCAATCATGTATGAAAAGAGTCAAGGTTTTAGTATACTTTGATTCTCAGCATTAACTACACTTTCTGTATAGTTCTAGAACTCTGGTTAGAGTCCTTAACACATGCTTTGTCATTCTCAAATATTACCTATGACAGATGCTTTAAGTAACTCAATTTTATCCATCAAGCCTGCAGCCTTAATGTTTTCATGTGCACCTTGTAGCTGTGAATCATTTATATCAGCACCCAAGTAATGTACATTCTGTTGGAGGGAAAAAGGAGAAAAAATTTATTATGCAGAATAAAACATATTACTGAATATTTTTACACATTTAAGAGTACAAGTTGTTCTTCAAAGGCAAAACCTCTGGGTGATATTCAGTGCTGCAGCTCTTACAATAGCAGAATATAAAGTCCAGAGAGAAGAGGTACAAAAGTGGCTTTAAGCTTTGCAATTCCAGGTTGCTTTAGGGAGCAGTAATTTAGATAGCCCTAGGTGCTAAGCTACAACAGCCTTTCCACAGCTACCTATGAGCAGCTGCACTACTCAGAACCCTGCAGTGCATTGCCCTGTGACATCATCCCTGTCATACTCTGGGGGTTGACAGCCTACAGTTCTTGCGCTGAGGGAATAATCTGGCGGAATCCAGGGCTTTTAGAGCCCCTTTATGCTGCGGAGACCCCTGTAACTAGCACAAAAGGGCCAGAGCAGGGATGAGAATCTCTATTTATGAATTTGGACAATTGCAAGAACAGGTGCACAGGAGTTAGTGATTTGTATAAGTACATCTTGGAGAAGTTTTAAACTAAAGCTCAGTTTAAAAATTCTGCAAACTTTTCCAGAAAAGTTTGGCTGATTTTCCAACAAGAACACACACTTTTGGTGGTTACAATGCTTTACAAATATAAAATAAATTAATTTAATGCTATCTTGGAAACATCCTACCTATTATGACTGTAGAACTTACAGGCCATTCTTTTGCAGCTTCCAAGAGTATTGTTCCTAATCCACACATAGGATCTAAAACAAATGCACCAGCCTATAAACAAACAAAACATACTGAGTATTTTTTTACACATTTAACAGTATAATTTGTTCTTCAAAGGCAAGATCTTTGGGTGTGATTCAGCACTGCAGCTCTTACAAATGGGGTATTGTATTCAAAGCAAAAAGATGTTGACTTATTTTCTTTGACAGAGCTTGACCCTAGGACATGATGCATGCCCATAAATTCCCATTGAAGTCAATAAGTACTGACAGCAACCAGCACTTTACAAGATTAGACTTACCATAAGACATCAGAAGTATAAGAATCACTGAGATGCCTTCAATTACATTTTCTGAAATCCAAAGCTAAGGCAGGTGTGTTGGTTAGGACAGGCACTTTTAGAGAAAAGTATATCCATAATGTTCCTCTAACAAGTGTTTGTAAGGCCATCTCTGCCTCCACTAACTGGATCATGAAATTCTCAGCTCTCTGAGGAACAGAACCTATCATTATGCAGGCCCCTCTGTTGCTACTATTAATAATCTATGTCAGTGTTTGCTTACATTGATTTCAGCAAGAGATGCCATAGCCCACGCTACAGTAGATCGGAGTCCTGCAGTTCGGATATACTCTCTGGTCGCCAGTGGAAGTCTGCAAACAACAAGAGGTAGATACCAAACTAAAACACTCCATATAAGAAGTGAATCCAAAAGAATGTCTCTGTAAAAATGCAAATTGTCATGCATAAAAATCATAATATAGTCAATTATGGGAACCCAATAGAAAAGGAAACTCAGTGAGGGACCAGGGAGTGTGACTTGTTGCTCAGCACTTTTGAAAATCAGGTCTTTGATTTAGGTGCCAAAGTATGGCCTTAGCTTTAGGCTGCTCTGTTGGACATTTAGGCCAAGATTTCAAGTCAACTCTAGACAGATTGTACATGATCTCGATGTACAAAAGCCCAAAGGATACAAGTTAAGAAAAATATTTTATACACAGTAGCTGCCAGGACTTATTTATAAAATGAGACAATTAATAGCCATACTATAGAACTGTTATTTGTGAATTTGGTGATAAAAATATTTACCTGAAGACAGGAATCCCCACCACCGAGTAAATATCATTTAGATGTACAAAGAGCTGAAAGGGGAAAAAAAATTACATTAAAAAGTAAACTTGGATCTTCTAAGTTAAATGTGATGGTAGTTTTGCTAATTGAAACTAGGCATCGAAGATGCTATTTATTTGACCTTTATCATTAGGATTTGGGGTTTTAGATCAATCAATAAAAACCTATAGTATCAAAAATTATCTTATCGTTTTTAAATAAAGAACACAATAGGAAAGTTTTAAAAGAATTTGTAACATTTAAACAAGCCATAAAGACATTCTACATTGGTTAAGAGTTCATCATGAGGCATTCATATCTTTGAAGGACCAATTTTTTAATATAGTTCAAGGAACATTCTTAGACACTAAAATTTCCTCCCAACTTCGCCAGCAGGTTTTGCAGGACTTGGATTCCTTCAAAACAAAGCACTACTGCTTAGGGCTGGGATTTTCAAAGCACTGAAGTGACTTAAGAGTCCCTTGCCTTTTACTGGGACTTGTGCTCCTAAGCAACTTTGGTATTTTTGAAAGTACCATCCCTAGAACAGCACATAGCAAATATGTAGTTCCTTGACTATGTACACATACAGGTGTGCATAATGAATTTCTAAGGTTGGCAATGGAAGTCTCTTCCCCAGAAAGCATCCCTGACCAGTTAGGTCATTGCACTATAAAATGCAATCAGACAACCATTTAGACATTAAGTCCTCCTAGTGAGAGCCTTACCTAGGGAACTGCTGACAAAGCAGAGTTGGATGGCCTAAGGTCTTCAGTCCTCTCCAAGCAGAACCCTAATGACCTTTTTCATATCAAGCTTGTGGAGAAGAACTTCATTACGATGGGCATATGGTTGTGGAAAAATTGCAGCAAGGGCAATAAGCTTATTAAAGGTTGATGTCAATCACTACCTTGGCAAGGATCTTTGGGAGAGTTTACAGCAATAACTTGTAAAATCTAGTATGAATGTGGATCAGCCATGAGGGCTTGAAGCATATTCACTTAATGAGACAATCCACTGCCACCAGGAAATTAACCTTCCACATAAGAAAGCTGAACTCACAAGTACAAAGTGCCTCAAAAAGAGGTTTTCAGGACCAAATAAATATCCCCTTATGCAGGGGGCTCTTTTGGGGGGGCACACAATGGAAATAAAATGTGTCAAGACCTGCATGAACTTCATGATAAGGGATGCAGAGACAATGGTCTACCTTCAAATAGCTCATGGCAGGCTGAAACAGCTGTCAAATGCACCTGGATTAAAACCAGTCTTTAATACAGATTCAGAAAAATAAAGGCAAGGCAAGCAGTTTGCACGCATCATTTACAGTGAGTCTCACTGCACCACAGAGCAATCCTTTCTACTTAGAGCTGGAAGTCTTACTGGTAGATTCTTTTAGAAAAGCCAGGATGTTTGGAATACCTAGCTGAAGACATCAAGCCTGCAGAGTGTCATCCTTTCAGGAATCAGATCAACAGGGATAGAGATTTGGGCTGGGATGTGAACAGACTCTTAGTCCAATGGGACTTCCCACCACTTTTGTGAGCAGGGTTGAAGACTTAACCCTGTACTGGCTCAGACAGAGTATCAGGATGACTGAACTTTCACCCCTTCTGGGTTTGGTCAGAACCTTTGCTACCAGACTTACTGGTTCATAGGTATACGGGAGTCCCCTTCCCCAGTGCCACAAGAAGGCTACTGGTACTTTTTTGTTCACATCAGTAGCAAAGGTGAGGGGAATTCTACACAGTCTTTCAACAAGAACACAGGAGGGAGAATCCTATACTGGTATATTTAAGTAATGAAAATGTTCTATACTGAAGCAGGAAGGTCCAATGCCCAGTTGGCTTAGTGGTCAGATAGTGGCCTTTCGGTTTCTGCCACCTTGTTCATCCCAGATGGGGCTCTGCATGTATGGCCTCAATCACCCCCACATGTGCCAATTTCTCCCCACAGGTTGTGTCACTACACAGAAGTGGGGGGGGGGAAGCGCCAAGATGGGGGGGATCAGGCCCCCAACTCACTCCACCAGGTCCTGACCCAGGGGTTTATCAAAAAGTGTCCAGTCCAGTTATTGAGGTACCCCAAATTATGTTTTCCATTTGGTCACTTCCTACCAGTATGGAGCCTCAGTTTGGCGCATAGTCATAGGCTTAGCAGACTCTCCTTAGTCTGTTAGTGTCCTGTTCAGTCACTCTCTCTGACAGCTTCCAAATCCCAAAGAAATGGAGGAGTGGGGGGGATTCGGTCCCCCCTGCTAGATGAACCCACACAAAGCTGTTGTCTTCTTGGCACAGCTCAGCATCAGCCTTGCTTCTTGGAGCTGTGTGCTTCTTATTCCCCTCACCCGCTTCCTGGCTACCAGTGTTCTTTTAAACTGTTCCCCCACTGGGAACATGCCCTCCACCTGTTGAGGGGTGAGGCCTCCCCAGTCCAGTATTGCTCTACTCCCAGCCCTAGTTCAGAGTGGGGCCTATAGACACTATCTCACACACTCTAAAACCACAATATGAACAGTGAAATAAGTCATGTCAAATCAGCACTTGACAGTGTCATTTTAAAACTAGAGAATTCAGTAAACAAACCACTTCATTACCTCTAGATCAGGGTTTCTCAAATCTGCTTTCCATCCAAGCTGTTTTATAAGAGTTATTCCAAGTACTTTTCCCACCTCCTGAAAGAACAAAAAACAAAAAGAAGCCACCCCAAAAAAACTAAAAACAAAACTATCACTGAAAGCCATTAAGATTAAAATGAATCTAAGTTACAAAATGACAAAAAACAAGTTATGTTAGAGTTTAAAGAATTCACAAGCAAGGCAAGACTATATAGTGAAATATAACATTAGCAGCTCTGAATCTGAACATATACAAAGAAGCCAAACAAAACATTTGTCCTAATACCACAACTGAAATTTAACAATTTGATTACTAAGTATTAGTGCAGAACTACTTACTTTTAAACTGGCAATTAGTTTGCTTTCTTCAGCATCTTATAAAGGTATTCTGCTCTGAAACACAGCTATAAAAGTGTCATTGGGGATAGAATTCTTCCCCAACCTGCCAGCCCTGTAAACTCCACCTACACTGTGAGACAAGCTAATTCTTTCCCTTCATCATCCAGAGATTCTGCAGGCCAAATAAGACCTCTGCAAAGGGAACACTTACAGTTCATTCTGATTTTAGAGAGGTTGCAGATTTCAAGAAATACTCCTTTTATTTAAAACATGCAATGAATTTAAGTCCATCCACTGCAGAGTTAGCTATGCAACCCCCCATTACTTTCAATGTTTGCACAGTTGCACATCATCAGTTTCATTGTTCAAACTGCAGTCAGTTACAAGAAGGAATAAAATCCCGCTCTCTTTCAGCTGTGTTAGTTATACATGGCTAACAGGAACAAAAAGTATTAAAATATCCACTTAATTGTTAATGAACAAAGATGTGTCTCTGACTCTGGGGTTAGACCAGAACTATCGAGTAAGTTTAAAAAAAAATTTAAAAAGCACAACCTATGAGCTGTTAGGTAACTAGATTCATTACTTACTTGTGAATATCAAAACACTGACTAGTTTCTTCCCAATATCTATATGGCACACACAAGTGAAGTAGGGCTGTGAATACCATTTAAAAAGTTAACCGTTTAAACGATTACAAATATGTCATTTAAACGGTTAACCAATTAAGCAGCTGGGCCTGCTCCAGCTGGGTGGTGCAACTCTGGCCAGGTAGCATGGCTCCATCCGCTCCAGTTAACCTTTTACATCCCTAAAGTGAAGGGACATTTTCAGTTTCTTTAAAATATATTTTGTAGATCTTAATAAGAACATAAGAATGGCCATACTGGGTCAGACCAAAGGCCCATCCAGCCCAGTATCCTGTCTACCGACAGTGGCCAATACCAGGTGCCCCAGAGGGAGTGAACCTAACAGGTAATGATCAAGTGATCTCTCTCCTGCCATCCATCTCCACTCTCTGACAAACAGAGGCTAGGGACATCATTCCTTTCCCATCCTGGCTAATAGCCATTAATGGACTTAACCTCCAGTTAAGAGAACCTCTAGTTCTCTTTTAAACCTTGTTGTAGTCCTAGCCTTCACAAGCTCCCCAGGCAAGGAGTTCCACAGGTTGACTGTGCGCTGAGTAAAGAAGAACTTCCTTCTATTTGTTTTAAACCTGCTGCCCATTAATTTCATTGGGTGGTCCCTAGTTCTTATATTATGGGAACAAGTATGTAACTTTTCCTTATTCACTTTCTCCACACCACTCATGATTTTATATACCTCTATCATATCCCCCCTTAGTCTCCTCTTTGCCAAGCGGAAAAGTCCTAGCCTCTTTAATCTCTCCTCATATAGGACCCGTTCCAAACCCCTAATCATTTTAGTTGCCCAGCAACTAAAATACAGCAAAAGTACACCTCTACCCTGATATAACGCGGTCCTCGGCGCGCTCAGGGGAGGAGGTGGAGCGGAGGTGATCTGGGGCAGGGAGCAGTTCCTCTGCGCCCCCACCCCCACCCCTTTGCTGCGGCCCCCCTGCCCCAGCTCACCTCTGCTCCGCCTCCTCCCACGAGCGTGCCGCAGCTCTGCTTCTCCACCCTCCCAGGCTTGCGGCAAGCCTGGGAGGGAGGGAGGGAGAGAGAAGTGGAGGTGAGTTGGGGCGGGGGGGCGCGCAGAGGAACCGCTTGCGGTAACACGAATTCGGCTATAACGAGGTAAAGCAGTCCCGCTCCCCAGAGCGCTCCTTTACCGCGTTATATCTGAATTCGCATTATATCAGACCACATTATATCGGGGTAGAGGTGTATTACAGCAAAAGTCTCCATACTCATAACACCCCATTGGAGCTAGTCATTTCTACAACCTTTGTACCATAATTCTTTAAAAGAAAATGGTGTTCATTGGTTCAACACAGCTCTTTAGCAGTTCTCCCTTTTTAGCAAGCATAAACAAAGCTGCATATTAAAGGCCATTATCTAGCCAAAATTAAGCTTTCATGACTCTGATTCATAGGTTCAGATTCATAGAGTCCAAGGCCAGAAGGGACCACTGTGATCATTTAGTCTGACCTCCTGTATAACACAAGCCCTAGAAGTTCCTTGCAATAATTCCTAGAGCATATCTTTTAGAAAACCATCCCATCTTGATTTAAAAAGTGTCAACGATGGTAAATCCACCACAACCCTTGGTAAATTGTTCCCATGATTAATTACCCTCACTGTCAAAACTCCAAACTATATAGCCTGCTCCACCCATTCTGAGAGGATTGCTCCATCAGCAGCAGCCATATAATGCACAGATTGGCTATACAAGCCTGTCTTCTTCTCAGGAGTGAAGTCACTGATTCCTGCTTGCTCAACTGCTATATGACCAAGTGATTAGAATTAAGTGAATGACCTGGGATAACACACTGAACATGAGCAGGTTCTTCCTTAGCTACTTGATGACTGCTCTCAGATAGGGAAGAAACTGACAGCTTTCACCTGAGATTCACGAACAAGTGTGCTACAAGGCCAAGAATTCCTTTCCCATCCCACATTTATATAATTGGGAAGAATCATCTTAACATTGATGCATAGCCCCACACACTGCAGTCTGAGGCGGTAGGACCACCAACATTCCAAGATCTCAGAGATTGGGAAAGTCCCTCCCATCAATAGCCAGAATCCTCAGTTTAATTGCTTATAGGCCAGCTGGACTTGTTTGGGGCCACATTACCACTGTAGGAACTCCCACAGAAAACTCATTTGATCTGAAAAGCTCTTAACACCTGCTGTTCAGCATACCTTTAGATAGATTAACCTAGTGTATAGCCACTATCCACAAATTTCTGGAAAGTTTTGAACGAGTAGAGCCTGAAATAAATGTAAAACACTGTGCATAAAATTGAGCACATTTCTAAGTGTTTGCGGGACTGGAGCCTTACAGTTTACTGTGCACTTACTTCAATGGAAAAACCTCCCAAAGAACCAAACTTCTGCCCATCTTCAAGTAAAATAAATGGAACCTCAAATAAATGGAACAGATATGTTGCTTTTTTGCATCCCTTATGCACAAATGTATTACTTATAAATATAATACATCCTCGATAGAAACTATTCATTTGAAAAGTTATTTTGCCCTAAAAATGCCCTGAAATGAGCAATACCTGTGTTTTTATTCAAGGTTCTCTAACACTAACCATGAATAGTCATGCTTTTAGAAAGCAATTTAGAAACTATTACTGATCTGTTTACTAACCTAATACACATAGTTATTAGGTATTTCAGCGCACCTTTAAAATGTACAATTCATTCTATCCTTCAGGAATTTTGATTTGTCATACCTGTGAAGTAAATACTTTTGCAATTGTTCCACTACAGCGACAAGAAACTCTGAAACTGAAGCTGCGGTTATTGCTTTCAACGGATTTCTCTATTCTACTTTCAGATGTATCTTCTAGAAAAGTTTTGCTTTCAGTCAACAAATCCATGTTGTTGTTTGTTTCTAGTACCACACTTTTCTTTTGCTCTTCCACGTGGCATTCATCAGAAACTGTCTCTAATATTTGCTCTCTCTTCTGGTTTTTTGTTATGATACTTATCTCTTCTTCTGATTTTCTTTTTAGGGATTTTGGATTTTCTTTAGAGATGTTTCCTTGTTTGACCCTATTTCCATGAAGATGTTTCCAAATGGAAATAATATCCAGCCAACATCTGGGGTCCTCAGTTACAAGTTTTTGAATTTCATGAAATACTTTTCCTAAAAGAGATATGAACTTAGTTTATTCTGTGTTAACATTTAATACACACAATTTATTTTTTTACTAATCAACATTAAAGTATATGTTTGGGAATATTAAACACTTATTTCCTAGGACCGTTAAATGAAATATCAATGCCTTACAAAAAGTCTAATCCATTCATTTTCACAGATAAAGAAATTTTACTTTTACTCAGGGCTAGTACATATTCACACATGACAAAATCAGCACAATAAGTAGGGCCAGGATCATTACAGTTTCCACACGAATTTTCTACAGCAAAATTTCTTAAAACATTTTATACAAAAGGAGTTAAGACAACAGATGTTAAAAAGAATTAACTCTGTAAATTTGTGAATTCGTTAACTCCTGAAGCACCAATTATTGAATGTAAGTATTGCAATTCTGATCTGATTTGGTTATAGGTGATGTTAACTGAATCATGTCCTGCTTTGTCCTGGCCTTGCCCATAGCTCTCCCCTCTGCTCAGATATTCAGAGAGCTCTGCATGGCAATGGGCCAAATTCTGGAGCTAGCTTAGTGTGCTGAAATGAACTGGGCTCTTACCCTATTCTACCAATTACTAGTTTTTTGCCTTTGGATAAATCAACTTAATCTCTCTGTCACTTAGTTGCCCCTATTGTGAAATAAGGATAATGCTTATTCAGCTTTATAAGGCACTTAGAAATGCTGTTCAACTCTGAAAAGTGGCCAAAAGTCAGATCCGTTTCCCTATGTGGATTCAGACACATACTAGTATCCACTAACTTGAATTTTTTTAAGTTACATTTTACTCTTGTTACATTGCAGAGCCTACACATCTTCAGAAGAGGGAACTGGAGTCTATTCCTTCTTGTGCACCATCAACAGAACTACTAACTAAATTTCAACAGCAAAGCTAAATTTTATGACCATATTTAAACCACAGCAACACCAGAGTCTCCACAGGTGTAAGGAAACAGCAGTTAGTCCACAAAACCTTTATTACAGGCAATTAGAATAAGAAGAAAGGAACCCAACTGTAAAGATATAAACATGTGATTAACTTTAGGTACATGAGTAGTTCCACTGACTTCACTAGAGTAAAATATTGAGAAACTGAATTTTGGGGAATAAAATTAGTACAAGTATTATGACCATCAGTTTTCCTCAGTACACAGATGAAAGTAAGTTAGGTACTTCTATTTATTTTTTGAACTTTAGGTCCATGGATAAATTTGATCTTTCATGAAAAGTTTTAGAATATTTTTCGAGTTCCTAATCAAATTCTATCATCACTATTTTTATCTGAATCTAATCTTTTCAGATACTTATAACATTTGAAACGTCATACCACAAATAATCCATTTCAGTTTATATACCTAAATCCACTCAACTGCCAAGAAAATTATTCCTCTCACTCATTATACATAATGCTCCAGATTTATACCATGATATATGAAAAAATAATTTGGCAGAATTCAACAGAATCTGTTTCATTCAGTACATATCCCTGACTCATCAGCTGTCTAACCTGAGCACCAAATGAGGCAGGAGCCCTGTGGAAAAAAAACTAAGCAGCCATACAACTAAAGAGTATCATAGAATCATAGAACTGGAAGGGACCTCAAGAGGTCACTTAGTCCAGTCCCCTGCACTCAAAGCAGGACTAAGTATTAGCTAGACCATCCCTGACAGGTGTTTGTCCAGCCTGCTCTTAAAAATCCCCAATGATGGAGATTCCACAACCTCCCTAGAGAATTTATTCCAGTGCTTAACCACGCTGACAGTTAGGAAGCTTTTCCTAATGTCCAACCTAAACTGCCCTTGCTGCAATTTAAGCCCTTTTGCTTCTTGTGCAATCCTAAAAGGTCAAGAAACAACAATTTTTCTCCCTCCTTCTTGTAACCACCTTTTATGTACTTGAAAACTGTTATGTCCCCTCGCAGTATAGTAATGCATGAATCTAAAAATGGGCATGGTTGTTGAGTGTGTACATTAATTGATACCATCGAACAGGGCAGGACTTCTCAGAGCTCTGGTGGATTCCAACCCCCCAACTTTAAAAACTTTCCACTGAAATTACACAAATATGTATGTGCAGTGCCTGCAAAACATTAGGAGTTAGAATGAAACATTAGTTTCTTTACATAAAGAGAGTGCATAAACAAGTCTTATTTTTTAAATCACTTCTAACTCTGCCATATCAAAATGGATTTTCCCCTTGACCACTCACAGGAACATTTGTGACCTAGGGACTATTCTAAACCACAAAGCTGTCAGAGCTATTAAAAAAGACACAAAAAAGTTTATAAACTTTAAAAATGTATTTCCTCCCCATTCTCTCTATTAAAACAACTGAATTGCTTTTGTGCAATCTTTCTAAAAAAATCACTTGAGTGGAGAGATGACCTGAAAGATATCAGCCCAAAAGGCAAATTTTTAAAAAAGTTTAAGCAATCAAATGAGCCTTCAAGAGGAAAAAAGTCTTTAAAAACTCCAAGAGTATTTGTTGCTAAGGTCTACACTTACAAAAAGAGGAATCCTGTTATGTGTTGTGATTTTTTTTTTTTTATATTAACCTTTCAGAGTAGAAAGGTACTTGAATGTCCTTGGACAAAAAAGTCTTATTATTACTTAATTAAAACTATGGCATTTGAAAACAATTATGGAATTCTTTTCCAAATCAGATTTCAACTTGTATTTTGAGTTCATAATATTTTGTGTGTAGAAAGAGAAAGAATAATCAACAGTACCTTTATTTCTAGAGAGAGAAATTGGTGCATGTTTTTTCAGCAGCAAAAATAATCGTTCTCCAGACTTCAGCATCTTCAATTTACTCAACTCAGAATTGGTGGTAAAGAATACTTTTCCTGAAACATACTCCACCTAACAAAAAGAAGAAAAAGTCTAAAAAATAGTCTCTAGATTTGGTTTAGGCCCACCAAAAGAAACTTACCATGCGGTTGCACACCCTCATATTAAGTGCTCTGGCTCCTTTGACTCCATCCAACCGCAGTAAGCAGAGGTGTACAATGAAGAGCACCACTATATTAATATATTGAGTTCAATATAGTTTAGTATACAGTTAGAGTTAGGGTTAACCCTAACCCTTATCAACTCAATCTGTTAGATACCTGAGGACATTAAAACCCATGAGGCACTTTGTAAGAACTGGGGGTTTTCCCCAGGGTCATTGCACATTTTTCCTTTGCTCAGCATACTGTTTACCACCTGACTGCTGCCCTTCACTTAAGGGGTTTCTGCAGTTCTCATCACATGGGGGTAATGTATGAGATACTTTGGGACAAACAGGTGCACTATAAACGCAAGATATTAATACAGTATACTCCTTTGGATCTAGAATGGCTGCTTTATTTGGATATCTCCAAGAAAACAGACTACTGCTTAATTGGGAAAATATTATCTTAAATTTAGCTAAATGCCCAATAGTTAAATGATGATAAACTAGGCCTTGAAAAAGACATGAAATTTTAAGCTCTGATCTGTAACATACAAGTTGTCAAATGAAGATTAAGGGGAAGATTTTCTTGAAGACTGGGATGACCAATAAGCATAGCTAGGTTCCAGTAGCACCTGGTGCAAATATGCAAAAACCACCTTGAAGAACCTTTACAACTGTTAGTCAGGCATGAAGAGGTAGGAATAACAAGTGTTTTAAAGTCAAATTAGGGTAATTGAGTTTGCTAACATGACTTGAAATGCCACTTAGCACCTAGTATAGACATAGTTTAATACTTTTACAATCGTGTTTGGCAGTCAGTCCTATTGTAACCTGGGTTACATAACAGCTAACTCAAGTTACACAAGTGGAATCAGAAAAGCACCAAGAGCAGCCATAACAAAAGGATGAATGTTTTTTCTTTGTGAACAGGGCACAAGAAGAAACAGATACATGCCCCCTCACATGAGAAGTGCACCTTAAATGAAGTGTCCTTAGCCTCAGTTTGCCAGAAGCTGGGAACAGGCGACAGGGAGTGGATCACTTGGTGATTACCTGTCTGTTCATTTGCTCTGGGGCACCTGGCATTGGCCACCGTCAGAAGATAAGATACTGGGCTAGATGGATCTTTGGTCTGACCTAGTATAGCCGTTATGGTCTTATGTTATGCATGAACAAAACTGTGGAGAAATAGATCTGAGCAACAAGATACCTCAGTCTCACCACACCACCTTTAACTTGCCCAACTAAAACTCACATCCTCTGTCCAGGGCTGCAGGGTCTGTTTCTCCCTCAGAAGTCCCACCCGCTCACCAGTCACCTAGAACTTGGCTAGACATGGGCAAGAGATGTATTTCCAAACAGAGTGAGCCAACAGGTACACACACAAGTTGTATTATAATACATATTAGATGACAGAGGGAAGCCACCATCTATGCTAGGGTTTAAAAAACATGTTGGCTAACAGTAAATGAACATGTTTCAAAACTATATATTTTATCCTGGCGTGCACAGGACCCAAAACCTCCCTGGGAGGTTGGAGCAGGTGAGACCCAAAGGACAAACTCAACAAAAGGATCTCCCAAGCCTCCTATCCCATTAGAGCCCAACCCCCTCTCCCTCCCAACAGCCTCCACCTCCTTAAACCCCCATCCGGATGCATCCGATGAAGTGAGCTGTAGCTCACGAAAGCTCATGCTCAAATAAATGTGTTAGTCTCTAAGGTGCCACAAGTCCTCCTGTTCTTTAAACCCCCATGCAGCCCCCCAGGTCCCCCTCCCCATCAGGCCTCCACAACAGCCTTACACCCCCCCACACCTCATCAGGCCCATATCCCCCGACTCCCCCACATCCGATCCTCACCCCTCAACTCCCATACACCCAGACTTCCGCCCCTCGGACCCACTTCCCCCCACAGGCCCGCATCCCTCCACACAGCCCCGGGTAGCTCCCGGGGCACCCGCGGGCCAGACCCTGCCCAGACCGCTCCGAGCGCGGGCCGGGCGAAGCGAGGCCCCTCACCTGCGTGGCCCCTAGCCGGGCCCGCACCTCCCGAAGCAGGAAGGGCTCCAGGCCCCGGCCGGCCGTGCAGAAATAGCGGAGAGAGGGCCCAGCACAACCCGAGGCCTCCGCCATGCCGCCCGTTCCGCCGCTGGGCCTGTCCCGCCCCTCGGGCCGCCCCCCATCACCCGGCCCCGCCCCTGCCCCTCAGTCCGTCCCCCCAGTTTCCCCGCCTCTCCCAGCTGCCATTCGGGCCGCCCCCCCAATTCCCTCACCCCGCCTTTCCTGGCCGCCCCTAAGGCCACCCCGAGCCCCCTACCCCGCCCCTCAATCTGCCCCCAGTCCATTCCCCCCACCCCAACACCGCCCCCTCAGCCCCCCAACTGCCCCTGGCCCATTCCCACAGTCCCTAAACCGACCTTCAGGCCATCTTGTCCCCAGCACCCTGCCTCCTCCCACCCTGAGACCCCCGTCACAGTGCCTCTCCCCATCACTCTGAGCCCCCTGCACCCCCACACTGAGACCAACACCCCCACACTGTCTCCTCTGCCTGACACCTCACTCCACTTACCTAGAGTCCCTTTAGGGTTGCCACCCATGCCTAATGTATCTGTACATCCCAGAGTTTAAAGGAATACTCCCTGCCAAGACTGAACTGAGTAGGGAAGCTTGATTGCCCCCATCTTGCTCCGAGACCTTGAAAATGTGAATAAAATGTATTCTTTTTACTAAAAAGTGATTTTTCACTGTGAGGACATCATTAATTTCAAGAGCATCTAGTCGGCTTGTTTGGCTTTGTATCAATACGTGACCTGGTGATAAAAATCATCTGCTGCCCATACCTTTCAACCTTCAGGTAGAGAGAGCCAGAGAATTACATTAGAAATCTACAGCACAAACTCTTAAATTCTAAAGCAGTGTGACCCACATGCATTTGCAGTAACCAGCACACTCAACAGAGAGGCCAAGGCCTGCAGGGGCCAGGGGGACTTGTGTGTCCTGCTTTTATTCCCTGAGGAAATCCTCTCAGATCAGGGTCGGGAAACCCTGTGTTTATGAGAAGCTTGCTGTGCTCTGTAAATAAATGGTAACTTCCTTCAGGGGTTGCAACCAGACACCTTCTTTTACCAGCTCTAAATCTACACAGGTTCATTTAAGGGGACATTTTAGTTATATGCAAATTAATTAGTTCAAATAATTTGATGAACTCTGTGTGCGACACTTACTAAATATTCCTAATTTTCCCCCCAAAGTTCCCCGACTCTCTTCTCTCCAGAGATCTTCCCCTAACACTGCCCCTTTCATCTAGCTCTTTTACCAAAAACTGCCCTGCCCCATGAACCGCCTGCATTGCTCCCCTTCCTCAAGAACTCCCACCCCAGACAGTCTCCCTTCCTGCTCCACCCTGCTCCTCAACTTGCTTGCAGGCTTTATCCCAACAGTGTCTCCCCTGCCTGAGGTTTATCTATTTGTGTCTGTTTAGTGAAATATTATGCAGTAATATAAAAATAAAATCTCTCTGTTTAACCAGAGCGTTACCATATTACAGAGTGAGCCCCGTTAACACCAAATGCTCACAAAGCAACATACACACCAGAAACCCCCATCACTTACACTGTCTCAACATACCTGGGTTTCTGTCCTTGCAATTGCACCCTCCACGTGGCCTGGGACCCCTATTCCCATATTGTGCTGTGACCCTGCTTGAGGTCCCTTTCTCCACACTCCTCTCCCCCCAGCACCATACACACACTGGAAGCCCCATGACAACTCACTTGGAAAACCTCCCCTTGCACAGCCCCCTGTGCCTTAGACCCCACTTCCACATTACCTCTCTGCACTGTTCCTCCAACCTAAAAACTCTTTTGCTTTACACTGCCTCCTCACCTGAGACCTTTTCCCTAAAACTACAAGCCCCAGCTCCTCCCTGCCCAAAAGCCTTAACTCCAGAGCTGCCCACACTACCATATCCCCTTCCATTGTACAGTCTCCTGACTGGAGTTTCCCTCACTGCATTATCCACCAACCAGAGGCCTTTCTCCTCTCCTACCTAGGATCTCACTCCCAACAATTTTCCAGGGTGGTGGAAGGATGGTATATACTCAGAAGGCTGGGCATGGGAAAAAGGAGTTGTGTTCAATTCAGGTTGAGATCAGCTTATTTAACTGACAGGTTTCAGAGGAACAGCCGTGTTAGTCTGTATTCGCAAAAAGAAAAGGAGTACTTGTGGCACCTTAGAGACTAACCAATTTATTTGAGCATGAGCTTTCGTGAGCTACAGCTCACTTCACGAAAGCTCATGCTCAAATAAATTGGTTAGTCTCTAAGGTGCCACAAGTACTCCTTTTCTTATTTAACTGCTCCATTTAGCAAACAGAAAGAGACTCTTTTAGCCACTTGCATAGATCTTGCTTTTTTAAAAAAAAACTATTTATTTATTTAGGAAGCTTCAACAGGTTTACAAATCATTGCAATGTAAATATCAGAAAAAAATATAATCATGACAACTTTGAGCTTATTTTTTGTCTATTTAGTGAAACATTATGCAGTAATATAACTATCAAATCTCTCTGTTTAACGAGTGTTACCATATTACAGAATGAGCCCTGTTACACCATCCAGGACATGTTTCTGGTGATTTTATTAAATTGAGTGAAACTGCTGACTACTAATACTACCACCAGGCATATTTATCACACATTTATATTAAAAAAATATTCAAAGGTTTTCTAGTTATTATGCAAATGAAAGTATTTTGTTTGAGTATTTAATAACTGGTACCAAATATCTAAGTATCTATTCTCTGTCTCTTTTGCTGGGTTTGTAACTGATGCATTAATTTTTCAATAACGTTACATATTTTTGGCAATATTCCTCTAGCTCTGGACTATTTTTTTCCTAGTAATAGGCTATCAGTATTCTAGCAGCTGCAAACAGATGAGAGGTTAATTCTTCATTCCTTTGAGTGTGACCACTTCTACTAGGAAGCCCCAGGAGGATTACCAAAGGATGATTTGGTAACAAATATTCAACAATTTGTAATATTTATTTACAAATCACATCCCAATATTTTTTAATGACTGGAGATGTCCACCATATATGCATGAAATCTCTTCTTTCACTTAATTTTTCTAGCATTTATCTCCATTCAATTTCTCTCTATTTTTTTAATTTGACTGATGTGAGGTACCACTTAAACAGTATGTTAAAGAAATTTCCTTTTGTTGTGCTACAGACTGAGGTTGCTGTTCCTCTTTTCCAGGTCAAAATCTATTCATCTGGTGTAATTTGTCTATTCAGATCTTTCCCCACCATGTCATATATAAACATTTCTTTGTTAGGAAAGCTATCTGCAAAGATTGATATAAATCAGTTATAATTTTTTTGTTTCCTTATTGACCATAAGCCATCTCTTCTATTAAAGATAGCTTTCTATACACAACTTCTCTAGAAAGTTGAAGCCAGGTGCTTAGTGTTATTATTAGACTGTGTGTCAGTCACCTAATCTGGAGGAAAAAGAATTGTGCTCTTTGATAGCTCAGCTGGTAGTGTCAAAGGCTGGAGAATAATTAAAAAGGCATGTTTAACCAGTCATTCAATTCTGCTTTAAAACAGCAATCTCATCTATATCTTTATGGGAAAAAACAACTGTCTTATGACAACTTGTAAATCCTTGGTAGAACATGATGGCAAATGCATAAAATGGCACATGCTAAGGAAAACACAGAAAAAAAAGAGGCATTAGGGTATCCTTAGGCTTGGTCTACACTTTAAATTTATACTGGCATAGCCCTGTCAATCACAGGGTGTGAAAAAACCCAGGACCCTGACCAGCATAGCTATGCCAACAAAACTCCCAGTGTAGACACAATTGTGCTGACAAAAGAATGCGTAACCAGTTGAACAACTTACTAAAGGCTATGCTGCATTCTCCATCACTGACAATTTTTAAATCAAGAACAGAATTATCAGACACATAGATGAATATGATTTGTTGTGGAAGAGTCAACACGGTATTTGTAAAGAGAAATCATGCCTCACCAATCTACTAGAATTTTTTGAAGGGGTCAACAAGCAAGGGTGAACCAGTGGATATAAAGAACAGGAGTATTTGTGGCACCTTAGAGACTAACAAATTTATTTGAGCATAAGCTTTCGTGGGCTACAGCCCACTTCATCAGATGCATAGAATGGAACATATAGCAAGGAGATGTATATATACACATACATACAGTGAACATGAAAAGGTGGAGTATGAGCTATTATCAGCAGGAGAAAAAAAACTTTTGTAGTGATAATCAAGATGGCCCATTTAGACAGTTGACAAGGAGGTGTGAGGATACTTAACACTCCCGGTTTTTGACCGCTATACTTACCTACATGCCTTCAGCTTCCATCCAGGACACACCACACGATCCATTGTCTACAGCCAAGCTTTAAGATACAATCGCATTTGCTCCAATCCCTCAGACAGAGACAAACACCAATAAGATTTCTACCAAGCATTCTTAAAACTACAATACCCACCTGGTAAAGTGAAAAAACAGATTGACAGAGCCTGAAGAGTACCCAGAAGTCATCTACTACAGGACAGGTCCAACAAAGAAAATAATAGAACGCCACTAGCTGTCACCTTCAGCCCCCAACTAAAACCTCTCCAGAGCATCAAAGATTTACAACCGATCCTGAAAAATGATCCCTCACTCTCACAGATCTTGGGAGACAGGCCAGTCCTTGCTTACAGACAGTCCCCCAACCTGAAGCAAATACTCTCCAGCATCCACACACTACACAACAAAAACACTAACCCAGGAACCTATCCTTGCAACAAAGCCCAGTGCCAACTCTGTCCACATATTTATTCAAGTGACACCATCATAAGACATAATCACATTAGCCATACCAACAGGGGCTGGTTCACCTGCACATCTACCAATGTGATATATGCCATCATGTGCCAGCAATGCCCCTCTGCCATGTACATTGGCCAAACCGGACAATCTCTACACAAAAGAATAAATGGACACAAATCTGACATCAGGAATCCTACCGTTCAAAAACCAGGAGGAGAACACTTCAGCCTCTCTGGCCACTCAGGAACAGATTTAAAAGTGGCAATTTTGCAACAGAAAAGCTTCAAAAACAGACTCCAACAAGAAAC